TTTAAATTTTATTCTTTTATGGATTACACATTTGGTATCAAGTATAAACTCTTGACCTATTCATAGATCCAGAAGATTCTTTCCTATGCTTGTGTGTGTGTGTGCCTGTGTGTAAACTTTAGTTTCATATTTTACGTTGAAGTTTATGATCTATTTTGCATTAGATTTTATATAAGGTGTGCTGTTAAGTCAACTCTTTTCTCTTTGCCTATGGATATCCAATTTGTCTAGCACCACTTACTAGGCTACCCATCCTTCATTGAATTGCTTTTGCTAATTTGCTGATTTACTTTTAGTGCCGTTTTTCACCTGTCACTGCAGGCCTCTCAGGCATTAGCTAAGGAACCAAACATCCTGGCCCACTGCTGATGATGGGTCTGTAAATAGATCCTCTCTTGTTTGAACTGAGGGTATTGTGGGGTAACAGAAAGGAGAGAGTTGGTGAAAAATGCAGCCCCCTTTCCTTCAATAAGAGTTGGCAAAGAGGGGTGCCTGGGTGGCTCAGTCAGTTAAATGTCTGCCTTCAGCTCAGGTCATGATCCCAGGGTCCTGGGATCGAGCCCCGGAGCCCCGCATCGGGCTCCCTGCTCAGCGGAGAGCCTGCTTCTCCCTCTCCCTCTGCTGCTCCCCCTGCTTGCGCGGGTGATCTCACGCGCTCTCTCTCTGTCAAATAAATGAAATCTTAAAAGAAAAAGAGTTGGCAAAGAGTATTCCATTACCCTCAGGCAGAACTTGACTGAGACCATTAGTGTTCAGCTCAGTGAATAGTTATTTCTCTTGATCTTTGTCTTTTTGTTTATAAATTTCTGGGATATTCAAAGGGATTTAACCCTGGTCACTCACTGTATTTTCTGTCTCAATGTAACAGACATTATTGTCAGATTAATAATATTAGACTAGATTATTCACAGAATTTGATTTTTTTGTAGCTATCTTTATTCATCATTTTATTCCATTTGCTTATGGATCTTGGGACAAGTGGCCTAAGTTTTGTTTGCCTAATTCATATGTTCTCTTTGGCTCTGATTCTTGATGTGTGTGTAGTTGGGGAAATAAGCAGCAGTTTTGTTAGACTTTCTTTTTGGCATTTTTAGTAATACAAGGCAATATTGTAAGATTATGAAGTGGCTAGCTAGTACAATCCTGAAATTGTAATTTGAAACCATTTCTGTGTCTAAAAGAGATGAGATGATAATACTGGGATCAGTGGGAACTTGGAGAGCATTTTAGAGCTGCTTTTCTTTTGACCACCTCTAGAGAAAAAGAGCACTTGGGTGAGTCAGTATGAGGATAGCGACAAACATACAGACACATGTTAGAGTTTTAATTTTAGAGGTTTTAAGAGATAGCATTTAAAATACCTGTTAAATTCAAGGATTTTTGCAATGAGGTCAAGTTTATTCCATAAGCAGAGGATTTGGCTCTTGTCAGGATACTAATGTGCCCTTACATATTTCTGAGTTGGGGGAAGTGGGATATTATAATTTTCCTTTTGCCTATTTTTCGACACTGACTCTGTCCCAGAAGCTGAAGGGGTGGTTATGGTGAGGGGTGGCCTGAGTTGACATACTGACCTGGGATCAGCAGAAGTGCTCTACCCCTGCCACAGCCTGCTCATGTCAAGGACTTAGGCTCAGCCAGATTATCTTCCCAGTTCCACTCTTTTAGAATCAGTAACTCAGTGAGTCTTTCATGCACCAACTTTATACTACTATCTTGATGCTCATTTTATAGGTAATTACTCTCACTATGTATAGAATATGTGCTATATATAATTATGAATAATAAGCATATTCTATAGTTGTATAATTTTTAGTCTACTTCTGGACTTTAGATTCCTTTAGAAGGACATCCGTGTCCAATATTAATTTTCTATCCTTGCTGCCTGGCATAGGGCTTGACTCAGATGATTTGGAATGAATGTATCCAATGCATATTATTTTCTAACAATTCTAGTTCATGGGGGAATGTTGGCTTCTTTCAGTTCTTACAAAAATTATTGACCATACCACAAATTCCCATTTCTTCTTTGGCACTCCCCTGTGTTACTTTACAATGGTTGTCGTGATAGTCACCTACATAGGCAGACAGATTCCACCCACGATTTGGTCTGGATGTTGAGTTTGCTCTATGGTTGTGTATTTGCAGTATTAGCTTCTGACTTGGTAGTGGGGCGCACTCTCTGAGATGTCTCTTTTCCTTGCTCTGTTAAGCCATTTTAAACCTGCCTTGAGAGGGCTTCCCTGCTTTCCCAAGGGACTTTAATTACGTCAGTAACATTTTCTTACCTGTGTGTGTGTGTATGTGTGTGTGTGATCATGTCTTGATATCAGAACCATTTCTGTGGGTGAGGGTATGTATATCTTCGCAGATAGCCCTAACAGTTACTTATTTTTGTGTTTGAATACTGTATCAATATTATCATGGTTCATTCTGTCTTTGCAAATAATAGCTACCTTTGACTGAGTATCTGTCATGTGTTTGCTTGTTTTACATGACACATGCAAAAGTTTTAAAGCATTAAGGTGTTGTTTTTTTTCTCCCCTCTCCCCATCTCACTGAATCTGTTGTACCTTGAGATATTTTCTGCCCTCACAGTGAACAGTTAAGTGAGCTGGAGTACCCCACTAGCAAGGCAGGAGCTAACACTGCAAATGTACAGTTATCAATCAAACGCATGAGCAAAACTCACTGGGTTAAGCAAGTGACAAAGATGTAAATTCAAAGAGAGGAAGAGGAAGAAAAATCATATGGGAGGAGAAGGTAACATTTTGAGACTCCGTGTCCCTGGAGCAAGGACTGCCCCTTTGGGGGGAGTTAGGAGGAAGGTGTGTTTGCACCAGATTGTTCTTCTTGAGACTTTCCATTGAGTTTCAGTTGTAACCACTGACCAGCTAATTACCCAGTAGATGCTTGTTTTTTGCCCGTAAATGGTTTGCAGTCCCTTATCTGGCATATCCCCTTTGAACAACCTCCTTTCCAAGAGCCCAGAAAATTCATAAATGTTTCTCTACCCCAGCTGGGATTAAAGACTTTCAGGAGTAACCTAGATAAGAGAGGGGAAAAGTGAAGTTTTACCCTGTCCAGAGTAGAAATGAGCCAATATATAAAAATATATAAAAAGGCCCTTAAAATAAATTATTTCTCATGGTCACAAAAATTCCACACACTAGATACTATTAGCCCCAGTTTCCAGATGAAGAAGTAATTACAATAAAGTATATCTGATTGCTAGGTTCTAATTACTACACTGACCCTGCATAATTTTTATGTGTCCTTCTGTTTTCCCATTTTTTTCTCTTTCTAATCTCACCCTTCCATCTTTTTTTCCCATCTTCCTTTCTTCCTGTCTGCTTACCTGTCACCCTTTTTCTTTCTGCTTTTTTTCAGTCTTGTCATGTACTGGTGATTGGTCATGTTTGTGTGTCCTTAATGTTAGAGACCCCAAGACAAATAAGAGACAGGCATTATCCTCAAGGGTGTCTAGTTTATTAAACCTTAGAGAAAATAGAATTTCCCTTATTATGGTGTGGAGGAATTTCAGAGTCTGAGTAACAAACCCATTACCCTCTTCAGCATCTTCCAGAAGCAGGGAGTGTATTAGAGTGGGGACAAATTTTTTAAAGCTACAGTATGGCATCAGCTTTTCATCAAAACAACCTGATGCTCATGATCTGCATTCACTTTTACATATGCTGACCACAAGGAGGGGTGAAGTAGCCACTGGTTTCCCTCAAGTCCATTTCCTATAGAAACCTTTCCTTGGGTGAAAGATTAGTGTTGGGAGGATCCATTTAAAAACTTCTGCTAACATTTTACCCATGGTGGATAGAAAAAAAACTAATAAACTAACTTCTAGACCCCAGGGTCTTCAGTCATAAAACTTGAATAAGGACCCTTTATAAATTAGGTCTTGAGCAAGTTCTTTGACCTTTGTGCTAAATGTCACTTCCATTTACTTTCTACCATTTTGCCGCTTTGGACAGTCCACTCAGAAGCTACCACAGTGACCCCATGCCAGTAAAAGCACAGACTTTTTAGTTCTGAGAAATATGCTTCATTCAGTTTTTCTTTAGGATGCAAACTCTGTAAGAAGCCATTCCTTCATTAAGAACAGAAGTCATATTGGCCCCAGGTACCATTAACAGGATGTGGAAGCTATAAAGTAATCTATTCACAAATTCTCTAAACCCAAACATTAATTCCTTTTGCTAACATCTAAATAAAGCAGTGTCTTTTACATATTAAAGCATTTTTTGCACATGCGCAATTAACTTGATTAAGCTACCAAATGTGCAATTATCCAATTATGAAGAAGGGGGGGAAATTAAGATTAGATACGGCTTTTTTCTAGAAGGTAATTAAATTGTTTTATCAAGGAGACAAGGATGATATTTAAATAAGAAGCAGAAGAGATGGGAAATGTTTTACCACAAATAAAGGAATAGAGATGGGAAGGAAATGAGCTGATAAGCCTGGGACTGGGGGAGAAAGACAGAAAAGACAGAAAAGAGGAAGGGAAAGGATATAGGAAAGAGGATGGAAAAACTTACTTTAATATAACATAAAGGGATATAATTGGAACACTCAATAAAATGTATTGCCCTAAGTTTTGTTTTGTTTTGTTTTCTGGACAGTTTAATATATTAGACAAATAAACCACTTCCTGGATGAAATCCTGGAGAGGATTTTATGGAGAACAATTGTTTTAAGACAGATAATCAAAGATAGTAATTGATCCTGCATGCCTATTCTTTGTTTCCTTTTGAGTTACAAGCAAAATTAAAAAAAAAAAAGGGTGTGGAACAGCTGTATTTTTCCCCATTTTATGGGGAGATGGTGAATCATGTAGGTGAGGATTATCTTGGGAAAACTTTCAGCCTGTCTTTTTTCTCTTTGTGCATTCATTCAAGCAACATGCGTTAAAAACCTACTGTACGTCAAGTGCCAGGATGGGCACTGGTAATAGATAGTGTCTAAGGAGATCAGCGTTTTCTTACCTTAATGGGGTCCCACCTTTATCCTTGCATGAATGACTTCTCCCTTCCCTTCCCAATTTCTAAAGTAGCTCAGGTCATAGGTTTTAAAAAACTGTTTGGATTCTACAGAAAAATAGAAATGAAACATTTAATATTATGTTTACCTTGAGGATTTGGTCCAAACCTCTTTTTAACAGTCACCTTTGTTTTTAAAAGCCTGTGCTTTTTAGCAACTGTGAAGAATTTCCTGATACCTGAAACTTACATTCATTTATAACCTTGAAAGGTTTAGCTTTGGGACTCTGAGTGTTTTGTTTATTTTGTATTTTCTTTCTAGCAAAGAAGCCATCCTTTTTTTTTTTGTTCCTCCTCTTGGCACATCTGAGATGTCATGGATTACCTAGTAGGACATGTACTTTCAGAGACCGTCCACATGATTAAGGACTTCATTTCCAGAGAAACCAAGCTATCACCAGAAAGTAGGTCAACTGTTCTAACCCCTTTGACTCATGTGGGAAGATGAGGCAGCAGTACCTGAGGCAGAGTTCTCCAGGAAGATGGAGGTCAGGAAAGGAAAATTCTCCAGTGATACCAAGTAATGGTTGAAAAATCATTAATCCACTTTGGAAATGTGGAAACTAAGATGCGGATAAAAGTGAATCTAATTGCTACTTGGTAGCAAGGAAATGTGCTAGTAAAGATCCCAGGGTAAAAGGAGGAAACATTGATAGGCTTTAGGTTACTGATGAAGTTCAACTACAAATTTGGGTGGATAACCTTATGTAATATTGGTAGATTTCAAATATCTGAGTTCCTGGGTCTTTCACTGGGTGAAATTAAAAAAAAAAATTCTGCGGAATTAAGTTACATGTCAATCTATCTAAAGTCATTGCTCTCCTCCTTAGGTTTCATATTTACTATTAAGAACTAAATCAGATTGTAGGAAGAATGATCCATTTATGGAAGGTCCTCCTGTGGTAGCTGCTGAGCTTAGCATTGCAAGGGGAATATTGGTTTATTGACCCCAGTCAAATATTAGTCCATATTTGTTGAACACATCTGGGAAATAGACTTTTAAAGTCTCCTTTTTCACCCTCCACAATACAAGCTTCTATTCAGCTGGCTGATTTGGTTACCTTTCTACCCTGACCCACGTTAGGGCTTTTAGGTGATCAATAAAAAAGCCACATCGTTTTACATGATTATTATTGCTGCTGTAACATTTTTGGTGTCATAACTTCACATGCTTGTGAAATTAAATATCATTACCCTAGGTTTAGCTAAGGCCAAACATTGGAGTTAGACACCGGTAAGTTAGTAACACCTATTAAACACACGTCACGTCTTTGGTGAATCTTATTTCCTCTATCCTAATCTCTGCAGTAACCCCATGGAGAATAAGGTTGGAGTGGGGAAAAATTCCAGAGACTTCCACTTCTTACCATGGTAACTCTTACTCAGTGGGTCAAGGAACAAAATTGGAAGTTGTATATTTTTGCCACTCTAAGTTCTTGGATGAGAGGGAAAAAACAACATCAGTCAGTTTCCCACTGAACCCACTGTGAGACAGTTTTGGGTCAATAATCAATCACCTGACTTCCATTAAGAATGGTAGATTATAGTTGTGTTTTAGGGTCTTGGGAATCAATTTCAGTACAGAGTTGATAACGAATAACTCTGAGTCGGATAAATGTCCACAGAATCCTTTTAAGGAAGATTTGTATGAATATTTATAGCACAACTCAATGGCCACTTGCTTGAGATTGTCCTCAGAGGGAGGTATCTTCCACCAAGATCAAGAGAGTCTAGATTTTTGAATTAGCTTAGGTCTAAATCCTGTATTAAAGTTCATGATTAGCCCTAAAGATGCGAGTTAGATTTCTTACCACATCACCAATACCTAGAATTTTCTTACTCACATATATAAAGTAGAACTTAGAAAACTGCCCATTTTTTTTAATGCCTAATGATATGATAGCCCATTAATCATTGCCATTTTTTTTTCCTATACATCAAAACCCTCAAGTGTATGTTTCCCGCATACATTATAATAGTAGTTATTTCCTATAACCTCCCTCTACTCCTCCAGGACCCCATTGTTACCACTGAGGTCAGGAAAGCAACTTCCTTTGCAATACTTCTAGTCATTTCTAGCCTAGGAGCACAGCCAATATATCATTTTCAAAGGAGACCAATGCCCCCTTATGGATGCATTTTTAAAATATTTTAGTGAAGGGAATGTCCCCTCGGGTTATGGTGGTTAGGGCATGGTTGAGGAGCTTAAATACAAGGTTTATTCTGCCAATGCCATCTCCCTGAGTATTCTGAGTCCTTCACCTACACATATGCCAGGGAAGATCTGACCTCTCAACTTCATTAGCTTTAGGCACTTCTTGAATCACAGTTGAATTAGCCAACCAAGCACAGTCCTACTTTTATTTCCTGTGAGGTGATGGTACTCTTATCAATAAATTTGCCCCAAATGAAGTTTCATATTTTGACGTAGTTGGTCTAACACTATTAGTGTCCACTCCCATACATGCTACCCCAACTTACTACTCTTTTATATAAATTGGCAATGTCTCACGTTTGGTTTGGTTTGGTTCGGTTGTTTTTGACACATATGCTATTTCTTCCCGGACCAGGCTTTGAATTCCTGTCTTGGCTATGCTAGGAGTCACCTTTTCTTTTCTTTTTGTTTTATTTTTTAGTATGTATGTATGTATGTATTTGATTCAGGATCCCTGTTTCTGTCCAGGAGACTCAGGGATGCTGGATTCTTAGCCTCGTCTTTGTTCTGCCTCAGTGTAGCCTCTTCATGTAGCATGGTCTCCCTGCTTCTCCATTAAAGCCATTACATACAAGATCTGGTGCCGTTAGGCATTTAACTGGCATCCCAACTCAGTGTTACTTGCAGTCAGTCCCAGACATAGCAGCCCTATGACCACTGGAGAACGCTACAACCCAGGTATCATCATGGCTTCCTGATCTTCCACTTGAGTTATGAGCTGGGCAGTTAAAGAGCCCAATTTTTCCTTTCTCAGGGCATCTGTTAGCTCGCTGGGACTGTCTGAAGCAGCTAACCAACCCCCAAAACATTCTAAACCTAGAAACTGAGTGCCACAGCCACTTAATCTCCCAGTCTCTTGCCTTCTATTTGCACTTCATGCCAGGCCGTCTTCAGTTATATAGACCTCAAACAATGACAATGCCACTGTGCCACATGGAATACCGGTGTTTTGTTTACCACCTACAAAGAAAGTCTCTATGCTCTTCTTAAATACTTGAGCAACCTAATCTCAGGATTCCATCAGGAGGGCTTATTTCCTCAGGCCCTTCCTAGTGTACCAGCTATGGTTTTGGTCTTGGCAGGAAACCAATGAGACATTCCTACAGACTAAAGACATTTTAATAAAGTGACTATTTACTAAACTGTGATCACAACTGAGAGAAGATGAACAGGGGGTGGTGAAGCACCCTAACTATTGCAAATAGTTATTTGCAGTATTTGTAACCTCCTCTAGACCTGCAGGGGTGAGGAGAGGGAGTTGTTAGCAGAACCCAGAGAGTGTTTGTGATTATAGGAGAAGGGCACTTAACTGGAGCTTTGACTTGGGCAGTGAGTAACAGAGAAGCCCTCCCTACTAGGGAGGGATCCAGAGGAATAGACCCCACCGCTGTTCATCTGTGCTTGCCACTGGACACATCTAACCGGAAGTTAGATTCAAGGTAGCCTGTTGAGCGGCTCCACAGAGTCCTCTTCTGAGCTGAGAGCAGGACGGGCAAACACGGAGAGCAATTGTGAGGGGTAATAGAAAACAGCTAGCACAAACATGGTCTTATTCCCATCTTATAGATAAGAAAACTAGGGTTCTGAGGGCAGGAGTCACCTGCCCCAAGTCATTCAGCTCACTGCCTGGGATTTCAGCAAAAATGAACCAATTCTAGTCACTCCTAACTGCTATGGAAACTGCCACAAAAAGCAATTGTTTGGCATTTTATTCTACAGAGAACTTTCTTCCTAAGTAGTTCGTTTTGTTTATCACTAAACATGCTTCTGAGATAGGAATCATTATAATTTTATTTTAGAGACCTAAAAGCTGGGTCCTGGAGAGTTTCAAATCTGTTCCTAAGCTTTACCCTTGTAATTAGCAGAGAGGGTACTGAGACCGTAGGCTTGCTGGTCTCTCAATACCATGTACAAGGCACCATGTCCACATTCCAGGGTTGTCATTGTTGTCCTCCTCTTCCTCCTCATCTTTTTCCTCCTCCTCCTCTTATTAATTCTCTTCCTCTTCTTTTTCTTCCTCCTCTTCCTACTCCTTCTCCCTTTGCCCCTTTTTACTTTTAATCTAACCATAAACCCATTTTTTTCATCAGTTTTTTAAGGGCTAGCTATTGGGGAAATTGTAAAAATAGGTAGGTTCTCTTCCCACATTCCTTTGACACTCATGGCCACCTTGGTGCCCTCCTATCCTGTGGGGTTGGCCATCTCTAGGCACTTAGGTCTGATCTCCCCCTGCTTATATCATTGAAATAGGAAAGCAGATAATTCGCCTTTTGCTTTGTTGGGGCAAACATTTTAGCATCAGCTCTGGAATATTCGATTTACTGGGTTATAAATAGCATTGATTAAAAAACACAACAAAACTTTTCAAAGGCTTAGGGTTTAGCATTTTATCAGCAGGGGAAAAATAATTAGTGAAAAAATGGGACAAATGTTGCTGGAGTATCTATGTAACCTATTTAAGGAATCGTTAAAGTGATACTATTCTCTAACATTATTTTATTTTTGGTTACTTTACCCGTGGGAGTTATATCACAATGATTTTTCCCTGTTAAGATATTCTGGCAATCCTATGTAAAATTAGTGAGGAAATTAGCTGACTTCTTTTGAGACAGCTGAAAGTTTCCATGATGTTGAACTGAGGATGTCTTACTTGCAGGTTTATTTCCTATTGATTTCAAGTCACTATTATCACTTCCTTTCCTGTCACATTATGTAAAGGATGAGTTTTCATTTAGAGTGTCAGTAACTGAGCAAGTTGTGCATCTTGCTTTGCCTTTTTTTAATTTCAGTGCCCTAGATGTGATGCTCAAATGAGGATACAAATAAAGTTCTG